AAAACATAATAATTTATTTAGTATGTCTGACGAAAGTTATAACAGAGAATCAATCCTTTGATGAATCGTATTCAATAGTTGTGATATCGATTTTACCATATTGATGAAGCAAAACTGACTCGAAATGCCTCCACAATAGCTGACTTCAAAAAATAACATCAAAACATAACGAACAACGTAATCCCGTCGGTAAGTAGTTCGATTCCTTATCGATCCAAGGTCCATCAAAGTCGAATTACCTAAAAATCAAAAGCGTATCAAACAAAATGCTTTCGTCTCGTGAAAGATTTCAGGAATTTGAAATACCGCATATTTGTACCTGCTAAGAATTTTTTTATTGAAAAATCTTCATAATCTTTAAACTTTGATCCCATTCGGGGAATTTTTGAAATTATTAAAGAATCTGGCGTGACGCTGTGTCATTTTACTGTAGATAAAAATAAAGTACCTACTGTTTGTTTTTTACCTTGTACAGGAAATAATATTTGATATAGCTAAATAACTCACGTAAATATACCGAGAAAAGCTCTACTACTTTTGAGTCATAGAGGGATTCTTCCTCGGGAGCAGCGTGCGTTTTTGCGGCGACGTGATGTCACGCCGCCTACTGCGTAGTACCTGCGTTGGTATTGGTGCTTGCATTGTGTTGTACATATCTTGTCTTATGTCTACTTTGCAACTGTAGCCAATGCCACTTAGCGCTTGTCTACATGTAGAATAGAAAACCAAATTATATGGAATTGACGTAAATTTTGACACTTGTCAGTGTCATCCCCATACATTTAGATTTCTACTCTCTCTGTAGACAAGCGCTAAAGTGGCGTTTGGCTAAAGGCCTTTTGGACTAGTCAGCCCAGCAGTCAGTCAGATTGCTTACCAATAAAACAAAATTCAAATAAATATCTCTAAATATCTACAAACCTAATTTAGATCTACGAATAATTCTCCAATAATAAAGATTAGATAACAGTTCGCAGCTGAGACTTCGTGCATAATAATATAATCGGCTACGAAATTAAATCAATTTACATTTTCGTACAATTTTAGCCAACAGCTGCGTTCTTTGCGAACTCTTGTTACGGCTATAAGTGGCTATTTTGTTCTCAAGTTGAATTTATGGTCCTGTGTGGTTTTTGAGGAGTCGTGTTTGTGGGTACCAACTGTAGGAGTACGGGTTTTATCACTAAAAAGGATTGCATTTATGTGTTGTATAATTGTGTTTTTCTTTTGAGGGGGGAAAATCATCCAATGGCTTCTCCCACCCGTGTGAGGCGAAAGGGAGTGTGAGACTCGGAAGCTTTGTTTAAATTCAAAAAGGTAGCATAACATTATTTTAAACTGTCAAACACCAAGCGGTCACCGGTGACCGCAACCTATTGTTCTATAATTGTGTCTATAATGACGGTACTCGACGAGTTAAGGTATGTATAGGGAAACATTGTGGTGGTACGGAGGTTTAAGGCGCCCGCATCTCATGCATGAGAGTACGGGTTAGAAACTTAACAACAGCAAGTACCAATGTGACTTTTTCCGAGCAATATGTACTTTCTCAGATTATTTAGACACCCTAAACGGTAAAAGAAAACATCGTGAGGAAACCTGGGTTTATAATTAATTTTTTAATTTTGAAATCGCCAACCCGCATTAACCAAGCGTGGTGATCAATTCTGAAACCTTCTCCGTGTGAGAAACGGCCTTTGGTCAGCAACATTTGTCACAGTTAAACAATCAGCGTTAAAAGAAAGGAGACGTTCACAATTCTTCACCGTCAGTCGATAAACCAATCACCACAGATTACCGCTGTGACAACCAACGTTGATCATCTTTATGCAAATAATTTATTCTGACGTAAAGTTCTATTCTAGCCTATTCCATCAGGAATAAATCAGGTATCAAGTAACCAACAAACTTCCAACTTCCGAAGTTGCACGAAGTTACCCGAAGATGCCACAGATGTATCTAAAAATAGTCGAAATAATCATTTTCGGAGCACAGAGCTCGTTTATCAATAGCTGTCTGACATTCGAGTAACAGAGTACGTATGCGTACTTAGTTGGTCTGACTGGATGCTGGACTCGTGTTATTGGTCCTAAGTTAGGAGATAGAAGCGGTGAGTATAAGCAGAGTAGGACACAGTAGTCGTGGTGGCCCGGAGGTTTAAGACCTCTTCTCAAGTATGAGGGTACGGGTTTGAAACCTACCAACGACAAGTACCAATGTGACTTTTTCCGAGTTATATGTACTCTCTGATTTTATCTAGACACAACTGACAAAAGGTGAAGGAAAAAATCGTTAGGAAACCTGAGCTTATAATTTGTAATTATAAGTTTGTAATCTCTAACCCGCATTGAGTAAGCGTGATGATTAATGCTGAACCTTCTCCGTGTGAGAAGAGGCTTTGCTCAGCAGTGGGCATTTATAGGCTGTTGATGATGAGGACACATTTGACCCACCTGTCATTGTAAGAGTTAGAATATCATTTAACAAATGCCGGCCAACAGAGCTCTCTTCTAAACATGCATATAGAAGTGCGATTTCTAATGCGCTCGTTAAATGTAGAGATTATGGCAGCCTCTTGTGCAGATGAGGCCCACAGTCTGACAATGAAGTACCACGAGCTGTTGATGAATACAAAGTTATAATTATCAGAACTAAGCGAACAGGGAAATGGTAGCTAATTGCTTTAAACGCTAGGCGCTACGAATGCTTTGATGCGAATTCGAACCCTGCCGCGCTGTAGTCAAATTAGCGTAGCACTGCTACGAAGCGTAGCACATTTGTTCTGGCATCAATGCAGTTCGTAGCTCGTAGTACGCGTAGTCATGGGTATTATTTTTCTAATAGAATCAAATATTAATTTAACTCGTCGAGTACCGGTTTTGTAGACACAATTATAGAACAATAGGTTGCGGTCACCGGTGACCGTTTGGTGTTTGACAGTTTAAAAAGTGGGATTATTTATGGTTTTTATCCTTTTTTTTCTTTTTTTTTAACCTGGAATCGCAATATTTGAAATAGTCCTTACAACAAATACTGAAGAGCAACATGAAGTTTAATAAAATATGAAACCGTTTTTTACTTTATAAGAAACTAGCTTCAACATTACAAACAGGTTTCCACGAAGTAATTGTATTAAAGGTATTTCTATGAAGACACGGGTTCCTAAACTATAGTATAAACAATAGAAATCCTCTTACTAAAGGAAAAATGTGTGTTTTTATTAAATTACGGCACTTACGTGAATAACGCGAATAGCTAATATGAATAACTTTGTCGTCTATTTCTCAACACATTGCGTTTTTCTCAGAAGTATGCTGCTAGAGTGTTTACGCAATGACATGAGAATTAGAGGAGGGGGTAGTTGTAGGTGTACAGATTTGTTTGATAGATTAGAGCGTGTATTTGAGAGTATAGAGATAATAGATAAGCTGTAGTATGTAGACATGAGTGTGATATTTTTTTACGAAAAGGAGATTTGTAATTGAGAAGTTGCTTAAAAATAATGTTGGATAGTGTAATTCACAAAAAATAACAAATACTTTGACAAAAGACTGCCTCAATGGCCGAGTGGTCGCAAGTGCGACTGCCGGGCAAGGGGTACTCGGGTTCGATTCCCGGGTCAGGCAAAGTTACTGGGTTTTAAAAAATTCTCAGTAGTAGCACGGAGTCTGGAATAATAATTGTGCCCGGTTTATGGCAATAGACTCACCCCCTATTACATGGGACTCATAACATATATGTGAGTGAAAAGTGGGTGTTACATTATATAATGTGCACCTCTGCCTACCCCTTCGGGGATAACAGGCGTGATGTTATGTATGTAGAAAGAGTTACAGTGCTTAATCGGTATATTATTTTGTTATATTTAAATGTTTTATTTCTTTCACGACCAATTATAAACGGACCAAAATAATAAATGGACCAACTTCGACCTTTAATTCCAATTGTATAATTAGACCTCTGACAATCAATTTCTACGGATCAAAAGAAAAGATGGCCTCCACATTAATCAGTTGACATTTAGAGTAATTATTACATTCTTTATCACTCACAAATCGGTAAAATTAAGTAAATGAAGTAACTTTTGTCTCAAGTTTAAATGATTCCAAGTCGCATCGCTGCCAATCATAACTTGTACTAGCGAAAATGAAGGACGATATCCTTTTATATAAATTGTACTTTAATACTAAATGCTAGGGTGCATTTTAGAATGTATTCGCGAGATAGGTGTGAGGCTTGCTTCAGGGTTGAACGGCGCGCGCAGCATCAAGTGGACTAAGGATGGGGAGTTAATGTCGATAAGTGATTTGATTGAGTGTTCGCTGATTCGTATTTATTTCATGAATGTTTACACATACATAGTTTGTATGAGTATCTATTTTAGTTAGCATTTGTTATGTATTTTACATTGCTTTTACATTGTTTTTTTTTTTTTTCTATTTTAGTATGTTCTGGTATTTGTATGTTGCGTCAGGTATGTCTTTACATTATTCTCACATGTGTGTACAATATTGGAATATGTATCAGAGCAATGTAAAACAGACTTTTTTTAAAAAGAGTAACGAATGGAGTTTCTTGCTCGTTCTTCTCCACTCGAATCGACATTTTGGAACGAGCGCCTAGCTTCACTGACGGACAGACTGACAGACTATTATATTATATCTCATATTTGTTGACGTTTCAAAAGTACCAAATTATGGTCTAATTGAAATAAATGCTTTTGAGTTTGAGTTTGCAAAGAGGAAATGTACTTTAAAAGATCACGAACTATAGTGACGAGCGATAATGATTTATTTACGTATTGTTTTTACCAAAATCGTCATATTTAGACCTTTTAACACACAAAACTAATAAGGAAGTACATACTCGACTAACAATAAACCAATCTGACACTCATTAAGAGTAAACAGACGCCTTGTCTAAGAGTAAATCTCGATCACCTCGACATCTCCCATCCCTAGCTCGCCCAGTCTTCTCCCCGGCCGTGATGGGCGCATACAGTACGCCGCGACGCGGCTAAAAATAAAATAGTAAAACTCTATAAACACAATACAACCTTTTTGTATAGTTTTTGAATAGATTATGAGTGATACTGTGTCTCAAAATGGGCGTGGATAGTTTGCCGCAAAGGCCGAATGTGAGTATATCTTTGCCTCAAGTGGGGGCGTCCGACAAAATGCGGATTTTGTGTTTTCGTTTTACGATTCTATGTTTAATTCTGTTTTTTAAATTTAATTTAATATTTTTGTGGAGTATTATTACTGTATTTTTATGTTTACGAAAGAGAATTTTCTGTATTATAAATAGATGGATTGTTGTATATATTTTAATTAAAGCTTTTTGTCAGTTTTAATAATAAATCACACGCATTAAAAGTATTACTTATGGTTTGATATTTAAAGTAATATATCTGTGAAATAGTTAGATGGATTTCACGTAATCAGCGTTTTGCTAATGGTGGCCAAGCGTACCCTGCAACGCAACGCAGTCCTGAATGTCAGCTAATTGTTCTAGTACAGACAGTATTTAGAGAGTCTGTCTGAATTTAATAATGGTTGGTTAGATTTTATAATATAATCGACAGAACGTAGCTAAATAAATTAAATTGTTAGTACCAAATGTATTTTTAGAAATAACTGTGTTACATTAGAACTACCTCAACTTACCCTTTCGCCGATTAAAAAAGTCTAATGTTATGTTATGTTATCTAGTGGCTAGTTCTTAGTGGCCTAGCTGTCGAAAAGGTGATTTTTAAGGTCATTTAAGGTTCTTTTTTGATTGGCAATTCAGAATAAATGACTTGAAATTCACTTTCTTCATACAATCTGTACAATATATAATACACAGTTTGCCACAAAAATTTAGATGTTATACTATTACTTGATAATTATTTGACCTTTTTACGGTATAGATCTCATTGCATCAAACATTCAGATATTCAGTCCAATTCAGAAAGTCGAGTTTGATAAATAACTGCCTTGTTGGCCAGCAGTCACACTAGCCACTAGTGTGACTGCTGGCCAATTGGTCTCAGGTTCATTTACCGGGTCAGACAAAGTAAAACTGGGCTTAAAAAAAAAAAATCTCGGTAGTAACACGGAGTCTGGAGTTGTGCTCGGTATATGGAAATAGGCTCACCACCTAATACATGGACCTTATAACATAAATAGTGAAAATTGGGTGTTACATTGTTAAGTGTCGTAATGTGCAACTTTTCCTACGCCTTCGGGGATAAAAAAGCCGTGATGTTATGTGATAATTAAATGAATAGTAATAACATTTTAACTTGAAAGTTAAATCTGAAATTTAGAGTATTAAATTAGGTATAAAATCTGATAATAGCCATGATATGAAACGTAAGGAATTGATAAATTAACTGAATATAAAATATACCAGTTGTACTCCCACGTTGGCTTTTAAATGTCAACTCGGAATTATTTTTGTACTCAAAGGTTTTATTTATGGAAGTGTAGAAGTAAAGGGGGCTGATACAGCAGGATAATAGACTTGAAAAAGTATTTCATACATAATTTCTTTCCCTTTTTTTTTCTTGTCTCCGGCAAAAAGGGTTACATGGACATACTTACATAAAAATTATATTAATGACATTTAATTGTATTGATAAAATCTTTTTTGCAAGACAAACAACGACACACAAATTCACATTTTAACAAACCTATACTTACCTAATTTGTACAATTACTTTTGATTCCGACAATAAAGCAATTACTTCACTTACGCCTAACCGACATGGTCGACTAAAGATAGCATCGCGTAGGTGGATGGACGTCCTACGAAGGATCAATGTCAACGTGATCGACATTCCCAGCTTCGAATCGAGATTTCCAATTGTATTTTCTTACTGTTTCTAATTTGAAAAGTACCGAGTTTGTATTTAAGAGTTTAGAGAAGGATAGTTGATTTTCTATTTTGTTTTGCACTAGGTACTGTATTTATATTGGGTTTTAATCAGCTATTTTTGTGTCGAATTTGTGAATCGGTATTGGATACTAGCTATTGCCAGCGGCTTTGCCCGTGTCCCCGTGTGTCAAAATGTGTTATTCCAGACCATAATCTACCCCTGTTCTAAATTGCATCTAGATCCCTTCAGCCGTTTTTATGGGAAGGAGAAACGAACAAACAAACTTCTTATTTATGATATTAGTAGGATTGCTTTTTTGGAACATGTCGTCCTTAACCTTCTATGACCGCTGCAACTCCTGTAAGCCAGGATCTACAGTAGATACAACCTTTTTATTTGTGCCGTCTCAAATTTCAAAAACCAACATTTGAGTCATTTTAATCAAATGCTCATTCCATCCAAATAAACATGCATGTCAAGAGAGAACTTTTCTAGAAAAATCTACTCGTCTATTTCATAAAGTTAATAGATAATATCTATAGTAGAACAATTTATATATCATATCAATAGACGGTAATCCGTTCAAAATTGGAGCTCACTCGGATTATGTCGGGCGGGGCGGCTTAGCAAACATATTAATGAGATATTTTTGGTATACTATGTGTCTCCATGTTCCTATTTATTACTTGTTGTTAGGAAACCATTGTAATGTACGGTTCTATGTTTGCAAAATACAAAATTGATATTATATTCGCAACGTAGACCTTTGTGATTTTGTGATTGATGATGGCTTGCCTTACGGGCATCATTATTGAATTGTATAGATCGTGTAAGAAGGTAGGCACATCATTTTGTGACTTTGACAAAGCTTTGTGAAAAAGTTGTTACAATACAATAGTATGTTTTCGTATAATATAAATATAACGCTACTCATTTTTTAATGAGGGAAATCATTCAATGACTTGTCCCGTCTTTTTTTATGGCATAAGCCGGTAAACGAGCGGACAGATCACCTGATGGTAAGCAATCGGCGTCGCCCATGGACACCTGGAACACCAGAGGCATTAAAAGTGCGTTACCGGCCTTTTGGGGATTACGAGTTTGAGGATCGTTGGGGATTCAGGGATTGGAGAGATTGGGGAAGGGGAGGGTAATTGGGCCTCCGGTAACCTCACTCACACGCCGAAACACAACGCAAGCGTTGCTTCACGTCGGTTTTCTGTGAGGCCGAGGTCTGTCTCCGGTCGAGCCGGCCCATTCGTGCCGAAGCATGGCTCTCCCACACTTGAAGGTGTCTTGGGTGTGGCAAGAGGGAGTGTTAGAGTCTTATTGACTAAAACAACCCCGTTCCTACTCCTGCTCGTCAAGAAGGAGCCCCGGCAACCTGTTAAGTCCTCCGCGATAAATATACGCTACTCTAACTTCAACATTTACAAATGAAATTAGAGTTCAAGTAACAAATCTCAGCGTTCAGCAAATTCATTCGAAGTAAAAGATATTTTTGTAGCTACAAAGAAAATCATAAATGCATATGCTAATTATATGTGAAACCTACAGTCTGGGGAACTGAAGCTTACGTTTTCATCCGAGGTCCTTGACATTCTCATACCGCACAGAAAGAAATGAAAATAAAACTGAAACGAGCTTCAGATTCTACAAATCCAGCAGAATTTCAGCCACATTTTCTTAGGTACCCTTGCACATTTTGATAAGGAAATTGTTGAGAAGTTTTCTGCTTATGCTAGCTGATTATAAGGTTCATTTTTGAGTGTACAACGGTTGTGTTGATAAAATCTGAAAGTGCTTGGGAGAGGCGTTTTATGAAAACAACGTTTTCGTTGCACTAGTTGGAAATAAATAGTTACAGCTCCGTCTGTCGGGGGAGTTTGTAGTCTGCACTGTGTGGGTAATGGATAGTTGTCTCATTGGAAGATGAGATCATGAAAATAAAAGGATACAATTGTTAATGTAATAAAATTGAAGTTTGTGTGCGCTTATGTATGCATATGGTAAATGGTTTAAATAAATTAAAACCACTACTGCATTTCCAAATAGAGTGGAACAGTTTTCGTTTTTAAACGACTTCTAAATGGAGGTTTCTGTTTGACTTATATGTATGTTTGTCCGTAATTATCTAGCGATTGGTTGAACGGTTTAAGTGTAGGAGAGCTATGTTTAAGCACGAATGGGCCGGCTCGACCGGAGTGATACCACGGCCTCACAGAAAACCGACGTGAAGCAATGCTTGCATTGTGTTTCGTCGTGTGAGTGAGGTTACCGGAGGCCCAATTACCCTCCCCTTTCCCAATCTCCCCAATTCCTGAATCCCCAACGATCCTCAAACTCCTAATTTCCCAAAAGGTCGGTAACGCACTTGTAACGCCTTTGGTGTTCTAGGTGCCCATGGGCGGCGCCGATTGCTTACATCAGGTGATCCGTCTGCTCGTTTACCGGCTTATGCCATAAAAAAAACGATATCGATGCGATTTAAAGACAAGCGTTTGGTTACATTTAGGAGGTTTTTACACTAGACTTAAAATATGAAGCTGAAGTCGGCTTTTCATCGTAGTTTATTAAGATAACATTTTGCGCAGCAAATTTCCGTGCATCGTAATATCTTTAAGTGGTTCACTATGCTGCATTAGAAATTCGGTCGCGGAGACATTTTTTACTATAATAAGCTCTGTGTCCTCATGCAGATCCTAAGCTATGGTTCTTGCAGTGTTGGAATATTAATAAGGTTGCTAGAACGCCTTTATTTAGGTCAGTTTTATATTATATCAGTATCAGTATTGCGAGGTGTGATGATAGTGTTGGTCGTATAGTACATATTTTAACACATTTAACACCATTGGGTTATCGGACAGTAGACCGACTTTAACCTCTTATCTGCCGGCTATGAGACACAATAGAATGTCTCGCGTATATCTACGCTCCCGGCATACCATGGGTTAAGCTATCAAAATCTAAAACTATTATTTTTTAGTTTGGTGGAAAGAATAAAAACAATTGTTCAAAGTGTGAAAGACAGAAACCAGTTGTTCTAATATAAGCAACTAGCTACTTCCGCGCGGTTTCACTCGCTCTGCTCGGCGCCTATTAATCGTAGCGTGATATTTTATAGCCTATAGCCTTCCTCGATAAATGGGCTATCCAACACAGAAATATTTTTTCAAATCGGACCAGTAGTTTCGGAGATTAGCGCGTTCAAACAAACAAACAAAAAAACACACTCTTCAGCTTTAGTAGTTGAGATATCATTGTGTTAAATTAAT